AGCCGAGGCGGAAGAGCTCGAGACCCACAGCTACCCAGAGCCCTGGGTAGAGGACTTCCTTGTTCGAGAATCTTTCAGGGGTGTCCCACATAGCGGAGCACCACATCATCATGCGCAGCGATCGGCCCCTGAAGCAGAGATAAACATCATCATCGACAAACAGATCGACGAGCTTCTTCGAGACGGGCGGATCGAGCCCTCGATGAGTCCGCACAGCGCACCCATTGTGATTGCGGCAAAGAAAAACGGAGACGTACGCATGTGTGTTGACTACCGTCAACTCAACGAAAATTCGGTTCCCGATGCCTACCCGCTCCCGAGGATTCACCAGATTCTGGAACGCCTCCGGAACGCCAAGTTCATCTCGACGCTGGACTTGAAGAATGGATACTGGCAGATACCAGTAGCCCCGGGCAGCCGGGAGTGCACGGCTTTCACCGTTCCCGGCAGAGGATTATTTCACTGGCGGGTGATGCCGTTCGGCCTGCATTCCGCCCCTGCAACGTTCCAGCGCGCTTTGGATACAGTCATCGGGCCTGACATGGAGCCGCACGCATTCGCCTACCTGGACGATATCATCGTCATAGGCTCAACGCTGGAGGAACACGTCGCTAACCTTCAAGAGGTCTTCCGACGCCTGCTCAATGCGAACTTGCGCCTGAATCGAGGGAAGTGCCACTTCTTCCAGCGCCACATCGTCTACCTGGGACATGTGATCAGCGAGGCGGGTATCCATACAGATCCGGATAAAGTTGCCGCGATCCGCGAGCTGAAGCCACCAACTTGCCTAAAGGAGCTCCGGAGGTGCCTTGGGATTTCATCCTGGTATCGCCGCTTTGTTCCAAACTTCGCCGACGTGGACAAACCCATGACCGCGTTGCTGAAGAAAGGCCAAAAGTGGGAGTGGAGACAGGATCACGCTTTTCAGGAGCTGAAGGCGCTACTAACGAAGGCACCGGTTTTGGCCTGTCCGGATTTCGGCCAGAAGTTCGTTCTACAGACGGATGCCAGCGAGTACGGAATAGGAGCCGTATTGACGCAGACCATCGAGGGACAGGAGAGAGTTGTCGCCAGCCGCCGGCTCATCCCGGCCGAGAGGAACTACTCCGTTACGGAGAAGGAGTGCCTCGCCATCGTCTGGGCAATCAGGAAGATGCGATGCTACCTCGAGGGGTACCGTTTCGACGTGGTGACGGATCATCACTCGCTGAAATGGCTGAATTCGATCGATAACCCGACGGGCAGGATTGCACGCTGGGCTCTCGAGTTGCAGCAGTACCAGTATGACGTCCACTACCGGAAAGGGGCCCAAAATCTTGTGGCCGACGCCCTTTCTCGCCAACCGCTGCCTACCGCGCAGCAAGCACAGGTACAAGGAGTCAACTGCCGATGGATCAAGAAGATGCTCCAGAAGATGCGGACAGAACTCGCCAAGTTCCCCGACTACAGGGAGGAGAACGGACAACTCTATCGCCGCATTGGCCTCCGGGCAGAGGAGGAGAAGGACACGCCATGGAAGCTGCGCGTTGGGTCGGATTACCGCCAACGCGTCCTCGAGGAATGCCATGACCACCCAACCGCCGGACACTTGGGAATCCGGAAGACTAGTAATCGCGTGGCTCAGCGATACTACTGGCCGGGTTTATTCCGCGACGTCGCGCGCTATGTTCGTCACTGTACGAGTTGCCGGAAGTTCAAGGTAAGCCAGGAGAAACCTGCGGGGATGATGTTCACCCGTCAGGTCGACGAGCCATTCCAGGTTCTCTGCGCTGACTTCGTCGGACCGCTTCCACGATCGAAGCAAGGCAACACCATGCTGTTGGTGTTTCTGGATGCCTTCAGCAAGTGGGTGGAGTTGGTGCCACTGCGGAAAGCCACTGGAGCACAGCTTGAACGCGCCTTTCGGGAACGGATCCTGAGCAGATTCGGAGTGCCGAAGACCTTCGTCTGCGACAACGGCACGCAGTTCACAGGTCGATCTTTCCAGAACTTCTGCAAAACGCTGGGCATGGAGCTGCAGCACACGGCGCCATATACGCCAAGGCAGAACCCGACGGAGAGAGCCAACAGGACGATCAAGACGATGATCGCCCAGTACCTGGATGGAGGCCCGCAGAATACATGGGACCAGTTGTTGCCGGAAATCTCCCTGGCCATCAACAGCAGTGTCTCCGACACAACAGGATTTAGCCCAGCTTTCCTGACGCAAGGGCGAGAACCGAGGCTGCCACGGACTCTATACGACGAGCTCACACCAGGACGAGGCACCCCAGAGGTGGCCCCAACGGACCGAAGCCAGCAGCTGAAGGACATCTTCCGAGTGGTCCGAGACATCGCTGAACGCGCTACGGCGGATCAGGGCCGACACTACAATCTGCGCCGACGGACTTGGAAGCCGCCTGTAGGATCTCTAGTGCTGGTGAGACGCCATGCACTCTCCAACGCGGCTGAAGGATTCGCCGCCAAACTGGCCGCGAGATACGAGGGACCCTTCCGAGTGGCGAAGTTCCCTTCACCAAACATCGTCCAACTACACGTACCCGGCAGCCGCCGACGCCGTACTGCGAGTTTGGGACAGCTGAAACTCTACCGACAGGGAGAAGCAGATGACCACGTCGAAGGCGCGATCGCCCATGTTCAGAGGGGCCACTTGCTGACAGGCGCGCCTGTCCAACGCTCCTACCCCCCTAGGGGGGTTGGGTAGGGTCCTTCGAAAGCACCCCCTTAACAACGCCGTCTCTTTTGCTCTTTTCTCTCCACAGACACATCGATCACCACACAGCGCGAACGCACACGGTGCACCAGACTGCGGCAGAGCAGTCCAGCGGGGAGGAGGTCACAATGGCACTATTTGCGGGAGAGGACTGCGACATCCCAAGCGACACTGCGCCCAGAATGCGGAAAGCGTTTGGAGGAACGCAAATTGCGACGGTAAGCCTGAGACCCGAGCACGCGCGGAGACTGCTCGAGAAGGGCAAGATCCGAATTGGATGGGTAGTATGCCGCATCCGGGAGAAATTGGAGCCGAGGCGCTGCTATAAATGCATGGGCTTCGGTCACACCTCGGCAAGATGCCGCGCTTCTGAAACTACGGCCAAAGCCACACAGGAAGCATGTTTTAAATGTGGAGGCACCGGCCACAAGCACTATACGTGCCAGGGCAAGCCCAGATGCATTCTATGCACGCGAGGTGGCAAGACTGCGAGAGACGCAGAGCACGCGACCCTGAGCAGGATCTGCCCCGAGTACGTGAAGGCGGCCAAAAACAATACCAATGGTTAGGGTTCTTCAACTCAACCTTAACCACTGTAGATCAGCCCAAGATCTACTGACCCAGACGGTCAGCGAGCAGAACATCGACGTCGCTATACTGAGCGAGCCCTACCGGCCAAAACCAGCGTGGCGGCATATCTGGCTACATTATCCAGCTGATTGCCGATTACTTCAAGGACCGCGTCCTGCTATACAGCTCCGACGCCGGAAAACAGATACATCACGTGACAGGAGGCGTACCCCAAGGCTCAGTCCTCGGGCCACTTCTGTGGAACGTCATGTATGACGACATACTGAGGCTGCCACTACCCGAAGGTTGCTCTGTAATTGGCTTTGCAGACGATATCGCGCTTGTCACGGTGGAGAAACACCTATCAGACGTCTCTACTAAATGTAGCCATGCGATAGACATTCTGATGTCGTGGCTAGCAGACAACGGTCTCTCCCTTGCCGAGCAGAAAACGGAGGCCGTACTTATCAGTAGCCGAAAGATTGTCGAGAAGGTGAACTTCCGGGTCGGCTCGACCACCATCGAGTCAAGCCCGACGGTTAAATACCTTGGGGTCCTGATCGACCACAGGCTCAACTACAAGTGTCACTTGGAGTACGCAGCGGCCAAGGCGTCCAAGGCCACTGCCGCCATCTCGAGGATGATGGCTAACACGCGCGGTCCTAGGCAGCACAGTAGACGGCTGATATCAACAGTCGTGACGTCAACCCTACTCTACGCCGCACCGATATGGTCGGAGGCCATGCTGGTTGCGAGCTACAGCCGCCAATGCAGGACGGTGTATCGACGCTGCGCGCTGCGCATCTCCAGCTGCTTCTGCACGGTCTCTGAAGAAGCTGCGCTGGTGGTAGCCGGATCGATCCCTATCGACCTGCTGGCAGCGGAACGCAGGACCGGTAACTCGGGCAGCAGAACCCAGAGGAGCACCACTGTCGCAAGGTGGCAGGCGAGGTGGGATAACGCGAGCACTGGACGCTGGACACATCGGCTCATCCCCGATCTGGATCAGTGGATACACAGACGTCACGGGAAAGTAGACTTCTACACAACGCAGCTGATCACGGGCCACGGATGCTTCAAGGCTTATCTTCACAGATTCAAGCACGAGGCCGACCCATCCTGCGACTATTGCGGCGGTGCATCCGTTGCGGATGCAGAACACGCCTTCTTCGAGTGTCCGCTTTTCCGCGCGGAAAGAGAGGCAGCAGAGGCAACAACCAACCGTCGCCTTACACCCGAGACCATAATTGGGTGTATGCTGGAGACCCCATCCAACTGGGATGCGGTTACGGACATGGCAGCAACCGTCATGAGGGAGCTAAGGCGCCGGGAGCAGACCCGACGCACTGAGGGCCTTAGATGAGCGGCAACCTGACCGCCAGCCACCCCGCGAAGTATAGCTTCGCGGCAGTCCCGCGGGAGTGGACTCCTTCTTCAAAACTTCCACTATCCAAATTTTTTGTAAAAATACTTCCTGTTCATCTTTAAATAAAAAAAAAAAAAAAAAAAAAAAAAAAAAAAAAGACTGCGGCAGAGCAACACCGCTGGCAACAGCAACTGAGACGCGACCCACCGCCCACAGGCAACCGCCAGCGAGCACACGCCCGCATCCTCGAGGATCCAGCGCACGGCAGCGCTGAACACACGCGCTTCGCATCTCGCCCACGATTCCGAGCACGGCCGCATTGCCACCACCCGGACCAACGATCTCGACACGATGTCAAGCACCATGTCATCACCCAGGGACGACGCCTGGATGGGGCTCGCCCTGGAGGAGCTGCTGGATGGTCTCCAGATGGGGCATCGGCCCCAACCTTTACTCCTCGCGCCACTCAGTGTGGCCGGAGTCCGCAGACGAATCCCGTCCGCGGAGCAGCTAGACGTCCCGCCGGATCACCGATTCGGCCCAATACGGGTGGACACGACCACGGCCAACCGAGGCCGCTCACACGCCTGCCGACCAGGGCAAGCAGCCACTCGCGGAGCAGGGGCCGCCGCCGTTGGTCCCGCTGCGCGCGGCCACAACCCAGCCTCCAGCGACTCAGGCTACCCAAAAGCAGGCTACAGGAGGGAAGCCATCACCACGGGCAGCACCTCGGACAGTCGGCTCATCGACGCGCTCACACACCGGTCGGGTGTCCACGACGCCTGCCGGCAATCAGGGGCAGCCACCACGGGAAGCACCGCGAGCAGCCCGCCCGTCGACGCGCCCGCACACCGGCCGGGCCGCCACGACAACTACCGGACACGAAACCCCATCATCCAAGCCCTCACTTCGGCACGCTTACACACCGTCCCGATTCCAACAACGCCTGGGACACGCGCAGTCCAGGCTGCAGCGGCACCAGACCCAGACGGCGAGGTGGAAGCGGCGCTACGAGAGTGCCTAGACGACCTTCCACCCGACGTGCTGGAGGAGATGGCCCACGGGGCCGAAGGGGTGGACATGGAGGACCTCTTCGGGGAGTCTCCCGACGAAGACGGAGTACAGCTTCCGATACGCCCCGTCTCCGACCAATCCGCCGACGAGCCACGGACCCCGTCACCTCAATTCCATCCGGACTACGAGGTGATCTCCAGCGACGAGGGAGAGGCGGCCGAGATCATCCAGATCTCCGACTCCGACGACGCCGAGCCAAGTTTTAGACCGCCGGGCACCCCGCCGCCGGCGTATGAGGACATTTTCGGGCCGGGTCCATATGCCACCAGCTGCCCGATATCCACATGCGCAGCCTCATCACCGAGCCAGTCACCGCCGACCACGTCAGATGGGCCATCGACAAGCCGACACGTCGACTTGACGACCGACGAGGACTCCGCCGACGAGAGGCCAGCCGTGGCCGTACCGAGCCGCCCCCCGCTACCAACACCCGGCGAATACGCCGCTGCAGTGGCCCGACGCAGGGCTGAGGACCTGAGCGACGAACTGGGCTCGTCCTCCGCCGGGCCGGTTCGGCCAATCAACCCGGAGCCACGTTCGGCCAGGGATCGACCACCCACACCAGCACCGGCACGCCGAGGCCGCCGACGGAGCGCGCCCTGGGCCGACAGCCCCAGCGAATCCTCGTCCGAGGAGGAGTTGCCACGCGATCGCCAAGGTCACACCCGCTGGCTACCCGTTCCCGACGGCTGGAGCACGCCCAACGGCACGCTACCCGCCGGGCTCATCAGACGGATCCAGCAGCGACTTCTAATAGCCAGACGAAGGGCCCGACGCTACCTGGAGGAGGAACAGGTTCAACGATTCCGGGTGCAGCTGAACCGGGACGACCACGTCCGGGTCTTCCTACACCCCACCCGGAAGTAAGGAGGGAGTGTGACGACACGACCGGTCGCCACAACATTATAAATATATATATGTAAATACTACCCTACAATCTAAGCTTAGAATTACTTATGTACATACGATACCTAAAATTAAGACTAAAACTAAGCACACACACGCACACCCGGCACGAAGCCATACACACACACTCACACACGCACACATCACCCGGCATGAAGCCAACGGCATGAAGCCAAATAAACCCCGCGAAGGGAAGTTCACCCCAAGCACTAAGCTTTGAAGTTACGCGCGCAAGTGGCAACGCTGTCGGCGATAGTACCAGCATCTGGCAACGCCAAGATCGATCGCGGCAGCGCTGCCGGCAGGAATTAGGTCACGCCCACACTGCGGGAATTAGGTCAATGGAATCCTCGCCAAAGTCTCGATCTCGCAAGTTGTGCCGCTCCCGAAGTTAAGTTAAAAGTGTCCGTGAGAAACCGCGTGTCCGCGTCGGGAATAATTATCCTGCAGGACCTCGAAGGACATCCCGCCAGGGTGAGCATGGCCGCCGGCCATTAAGTATATACCTATTGGGGAATTCATCCCACACCCGCCGCCAGAAGTTATTTTCTTAAATAAATTACCTAATCAGAAAACATGTGCCCAAATCAAATTGCGCGTTTTCCCTGTCTTCGTTCGCGGGCCGGCGCCCCTCGCCGGCAGTGACCAATTCCCCTCCTGCTTTCCCCGTAGCACCGGAGTAATTCCGGGTGCGGGCGAAAGCCGGACGGGAACAGGAGCCCGTGGCTGCTGGATTTTTCCGAGCCCGGACTTGCAGCGAGGCCGCCGGTCCCCCTTCCCCCTTTGCCCATCAGAGAGCCATCCCGCCGCTGGATTTTTCCGGGCGAGGATCTGGGGTTGGTCGCTGGATTTTTCCGAACCAATTGTCCCGCTGCTGGATTCTTCCGAGCGTGGACGCAGGCATCGGCTGCTGGATATCTCCGAGCCGTTGTCCTGTCCCGAAGGCGCCCCGCTGCTGGATCTTTCCGAGCGTGGGCGTGGGCGTGGTCGCTGGATAATTCCGGGCCGCTCGTCCCACTGCTGGATAATTCCGGGCGCGGGCGCGGGCTTGACCGCTGGATTATTCCGGGACGCCCAGTTTCCCTGGCCGAATAATCACGTGCAAATATTTTCTTCCCCATTTTCCCCGCTAGCTGGCCAGAAAATTATCGGCGCTTCTCCGTTCTGGGTGTCTCACAAATTATAACTTTGGTGAGGGGACTCTGGGCCGCTGAGGATCACCCCGGCCGCCCAGACGCTTCCTTACAACACTTGCACAAATAATTCTAACACTTCCGAGTTACTTTTACTTTTATTTTCTGGATTTTTCCTTTCTAATCCCTATCTGTCCCTGTCGCACTCTTTATGCTCACCCTGCTTGCCGAAGCCAGTGTTTCTGTGTCTCGTCGGTTGCTTGCTTCCACTTCCTGGCCACGCGTCGGTTGGATCTTGGACTTGGTTTCTTTTCCGTCGTTTTCTCCGCTTATCCAAAACTCCGAACTGTTCTCGCCGCGCACAAAAATCCAAGTCCCGGAAGTTAGTGTGGCTGTTGGTCTCGTTTCCAAGAAACCTCCCCTGTGGGATTTTATCGGGGATTTCTTCTTAGTATTTTCCATGGCGTGATCGTGGTTGGTGTCCTGGCTTCGGCGGGAAATTCAACTATTCTCCTGACTTATTCGATAGTTTTGGGTTGCCACTTAGGGCTCACTTAAAATTATTTATCTTCAGGTTCTTGTCTCTTAAAGCTACTGCCGTATATAGACTTAAAAACTATTAATGGTGAACTTAAACTATTTACTTAATCCTAAACTATGTACATATAAAAGAATGTGAAAGTAAAAATGTGAAGGCAAAATTGTGAGTCTTCACACACTACAGCGTGAAAACATTGGGTTTGATCTGGGTACCACATAAGGATCAGCTATGTGGGCGATCCCAAAAAAGTGAAGCGTCAACCATCACCAAACGAGTGGTGAGCTCAGAGGCGTCACAAATTTTCGATCCACTAGGACTATTCGCTCCTGTTGTGGTAAAGGCTAAGATATTCATGCAAGGCCTGTGGGAGCTGAAGATGGGCCGGGAAGACGAGCTTCCTCAACTTCTGCAAACTAAGTGGAAAAATTATCGTGCTGATCTGCAAGCATTGAACAATCTACAAATTCCACGGCACATCTTTGACGGAAAGGTGCCCATTAACCAGGAAATTCAGAGCATCAGAGCGGGCATATGGAGCAGCAATCTATGTCCAAGCCACATATAAGAACAATCAAGTGTCTGTTCGGCTACTGTGCTCAAAGTCAAGAGTAGCGCCGACAGCAAAAGAGACGCTGCCTCGCCTGGAACTATGCGCCGCAGTTTTGGGAGCCGAGCTAACCCACAGGGTGCGGAAGGATTTACGTATACCAAACGATAAGGTATCTGGATACTTATGGTCAGATTCGACTGTGGTGCTATCCTGGATAAACGCATTAGCATCATCATATCACACATTTGTGGCAAATCGGATCGCAAAAATCCAAGCTGTTTCAGACCAATCTCAGTGGCGTCACATGTCATCAGCTAACAATCCAGCAGATGTACTATCAAGAGGAATTGCCGCCAGCAAGTTAGCAGAACACAATCTATGACTATATGACCCTCTATTTCTACATGGCTCTCGCCACAAGTGGGCTCAGGTACCAACTACCACCCCCAGCGATCTAGAACGCAGGCTCAATCACATAAGCTTGCCAACATGTCAAAATGAAATTGGCAGTGTACTCTACAAGTGCAGCCACAGCAACTCCTTCAATAAGCTACAACGTATTGTAGTATATATGATGCGGTTCTGTAACAAGAAAAACAGATCACCCACAACTACATTGTGTGTCGGTGAGTTAACCAATGCAAGGACCATCATCCTGCGGACTATCCAGCAAATTGATTTTAGTGCTGAATACAAACAACTCCTGATCCACAAAACGGTGGACAAAAAGAGCTCGATTGTCTCCCTGTGTCCTATAATGGGAAACGACGGACTGATCAGAGTCGGAGGTAGATTAGAAGAATCTAGCCTTCCATATAGCGCGAAACATCAAATTTTGCTTCCATACAACGATCCACTTGTGAAAATGCTATTGCGAGAGATTCATGAATAGAACATGCATTGCGGGGCTCAAGCTCTAAGAGCCATTGCCAGACAACAATATTGGATCCTCAATGATAAAACAATGGCAAGAAGCATAATTCACAGCTGTGTCAGGTGTACGAAGGCACGGCCCAAGTTGATGCAACAAATCATGGGCAACCTACCAGCTGACCGAGTAACACAGGCTCGGCCATTCTTTAACTCTGGTGTTGACTACTGTGGACCGATTTGGAGTCATCACAAACTACGTGGAAAAGGACCTGATACGGCTTACATTGCAGTCTTCTGCTGTTATGCAACAAAGGCAGTTTATTTGGAGTTAGTAAGTGACTTATCAACAGATGCATTTTTAGCTGCGCTTCGACGATTTTTGGGTCGACGCGGAAAATGTCAGACTATTCACTGTGACAACGCAACAAACTTTGACGGTGCCAACAATCAATTGAAGACCTTAGAGGAAGCTATATTCACCGACAAGGCTCAAGAACAGATTATAAACCATTGCAATAAAAAGCAAGTGGAGTTTAAGTTCATACCGCCCCGAGCACCATCGTTTGGCGGGCTTTGGAAAGCGGCGGTGAAATCTGCGAAGCGGCTGCTAGTATCAGTCACAGCCACAGCTTCATTAACATTTGAGGAGCTTAACACCGTAATCGTGGAAGTCGAAGCAATCCTCAATTCCCGACCGCTGACACCGATGTCATCTGATCCAACAGATACATCAGCTCTGACTCCTGGCCATTTTTTGATTGGTGAACCGTTGACCGCCGCTCCCGATGCAAATCTAGCCTCACCAGGGAAAACGTTGGTAAAAAGATGGGAATTAGTGTCCAGATTAAAGCAAATGTTCTGGGACCAATGGTCTATGGAGTATCTACAAGAGCTTCAGATGCGCAACAAGTGGAAAACCACATCACAACACGTGAAGGAGGGACTATTTGTGCTAGTCAAGGAAGACAACGTGCCTGTGATGAGTTGGCCAATGGGACGAATAGTGAAGACTTATCCCGGTAAGGACAACCATGTCCGAGTAGTAGATGTAAAGACTGCATCTGGGATCTTCAAACGGTCAGTAACTCGTCTCGCGCTACTGTTAAAAGAATAAACAGCCGTCAAACGTCCGCACAGTTCCATCGAAGATACAACGTCAAAGGATGAAATGCCAACACAGAGAAGGAAGGTGTCACCTTCGAGCCTTCCAACACTGCTGGCAATGTTACTCATTCTGCCACTAGCGATGGGACAACAAACAAAGGTTACCCATTTCACAAATCAGCCAGGACTATTCTATGAAAGAATCGGGACCTCAAGAATGGCAATTTCAGAATGGACCATCATCGTATATTACGACTTGCAACCATATTGGAGTGATATGAGAATATTGGCTGCCGGGATAACTGAACTCAAACACAAGTATTCAGAATTACAGAACGTCAATGCATGTAACTCTATATATGCGCACTTTCAACACTTACATGCCGAGCTACAAGCCGGAAATGAGCTTATTAATCACTCACGGCAGCGAAGATCACCACTAAATATAGTCGGTAATGTGGCGAACTCATTATTTGGCGTGCTGGATTCCAAATATGCTGAAGATATGTCCAAGGTCAAAAACGATGTCAAATCAAACGAGGACGTATTAATGATGCTATTGAAGAACCAAACATCGATCTTGGATTCCACTATAAATGTGGTAAAGAAAGGCAATTCAGCAACCAACGACCGCATCCGAAACATAGAACGACAAATAGATGCTCTCACCAAAGAACGAGGAAAATATCAAGGCAACTATCTGCAACAAGCATTCATGGTCCTGACAGCCCAGCTCACTCTACTGGCAAGTGGAATGCAG